GTCCAGAACGAACCCCAGCAAGCCTCCGGAAATGGGGACCCGCAGTTGCAGTGCTTCCGTCGGGGTGAGTCGGACCCCTCCTCCTGGCTCCGTCTTCACTTCCAGCCAAATCCGCATGAGGCCGCCCGAGAAGTCGGCTTGCCAGTGGGTCCTCCTGCCTCTGAGGCTTGGGCCGGGGATTGAATGCGTGTGAGTGCCGAGCACACAGGTGCTTGGGATGCTGCGGGCACGTGCAGCCGGTGTGTACGTATGTAAGGTCTCGTGCGAGACTCACTGGCCTCCACCTCTGTCAGTGCTCGTCAGCGCCAGTGTCACTCTCCTGGCCTTCCTGGCCTGGACCAGAGGGACCAGCAGGTGGCGTGGTGGTTAAGGTGCTGAACAGTCCCACGGAGCCTATCAGGGTTTGAGTCTCAGACCTGGTGGCTTGCTTTCTCGCTTTCTCTCTCTCTGTCTCTCTGCGTCTCTCTCTGGTCAAATTAAAATGAATGAAGAAGTAAAATTAAATAATTCTTTTAAAAAAACACAGTTAAAGCTTCCTGTACTTTATTTTCACAGCGGCCATTGTAAGTATTCTGGGAAACTCTGTTTAATTGCCAGAGGACTCTTGTGCTCACCAGAGAGACAGGGAGACAGAGGAGAGGGAGAAAGCACCCCCATTAGGGTGTGGTCATGCAGCAACCTCTTCTCCATTCTCCATCCTGCCATGATTTTAAGCACCACACACACCTGTCATGTTTTCAAGCTGCCAGGGCCAGGATTTGAGCCTCCGTTGACCATGTGGGATCCAGCTCTCTTAACCACTGGGCTATGGGCCAGTCCTTTATTTGGGAAACCAGTTAATGTCTGTTTTCCAGGTGGGAGAGTGGGGGTCTTGGCGTGGTGGTGTCCACTGCTGGAGACCCTCCACCCCCCGGTGATAGGCATGTGTGTAGTTACTGGAACAACTGAAGGAACATTGTTGAAGTAACACAGGAACACTTACTTTGGACTTTTTTAGACTTCTGTGATATTCTGGGGCATTTGTTAGTGTCTGAACTCAGTGATGGGAAAAGCTGGTCCCTCTCACCTGCCATCCAGGGTCATACATCTCTTACAGGAGGCAATAGAACTTGGACTTTAGGAAAAGCGTGTACATTCTCAGTCCAGTCTGCCTCCACACTCCAGCTGCACCGTGAGATAGTCCTCGAGGGTTTACTGCTAGACTGATAGGAGTGCCGCAGAATGAAGCTAACATTTTTTAAGATTGATTTATTCCATGACTGAGAGAGATGGGCAGACTTGTGCTGAATCGTGACTCTTTTTCTCTTTAATACTGCAACCAAAAGCACCACATGTCTGCATGCTGGATCTGTTGTGCAAAGCATCTGGAACAGGCAAAGGTACAGAGATGGGTGCCGATGAGTGGCACAGGGCCAGGCACAGAGTGACTGCCCGGAGTGTGGGGTTTCTCTCTGAGATCAGGAAAGCGTGAACTTGACTGGTGTGATAGTTGCCCAACATCGGGAACATACTAAAACCATCAAATTACACACTTCAAAGGAATGAATTGCATGATATGTGAAAGTCTCAAAACTGTTAAAAGAAGCAAACTAATAGTTTAAAAGTAGAGAAGTTTCATACATACATTTGGATGCCCTGCTCCTCTTTAAAAAAACGGGAGGAGGCAAGACAGTGGCACAGCAGG